ACACCTGTCCAGGGTACTGGTACTGATGGTGATACATGTCCATCTGCATGAATGAAGGAGCCAATACGCCTGACAGACAAACGACGCACTCAATTGCATCCATGTGTTGCTATCTGGTCCTGTGCTCTGTTTCTCACTTGCCGTAGCTGATGTTTGTTCTCGTCTACGAAGGTATCTCCCGGTCCTCCCGACCGCCGTTTGGAGAAAGCTCTTGCTACCCCCCTTCCCCTTGCCGCTGAGAGCGGACTTGGCCAGCTTGAGGAGCATCGGTCCGGCCACGCCCTTGATGCTCTTGGTGAGGCCCTCGCGGTCATTGAGCGCTTTAACGCCCGCCTGGGCGCCCTTTTGCATGAGTGCCATCATGACCTGCACGCCCCTCTCTCTCAGCGAGTCATAGTTGCCCTCGCTGTCCAGTGGCCCGAAAAAGCTGTCGAAGAGGGAGCCGAGTCGGTCACGGATGTTGCCGCCTCCGATGGCTGGGAGCAAGTTGTCAGGGTCCAGAGACGACAGCAGCTGATTGAACACGAAACCACCGAACGAACCCGCGTTGTCCACGAATGCATCAACCATCTTGCCGCTTTCCAGCCCCACACCCTTAGCAACGGCACCCACCAGACCGCTTGTTACCGAGGAAAGCAGGCCGCCGGCGCCTTTGGGGTTCAGCAGGTCCATCGAGGACTCGACCAGATTGCTCATGAAGATTTGCCCCAGGCCGGGCCCCAGCCACTTCGTTTTGATGGATCTCATGTGTTCCTCCATGTCGCCGTGTCGCAGGTGCTCCAGACCAGTGATCTGCGGGCCACCGGGGTACGCTGTTGGACCTGGTCATGTCGCAGAACGCCGGCAGGAAGGCGCGCAGTCGTCCGAGATATCCCATGCTCACCTGCTGAGGAGGGGAAGCTCTTCGGATCCCACTCGGCTTTTGGGATCTCGCCCTGCTGTTGCTCGGGGGTTGGACACAGATTGGGGTAGTAGTGACGCGTATACGGGTCGCAGTAGGTGCCTAAGGCCGGAGAACCCATACATGCATGTGCACCTCTGCGACGTTGCAGTGTATGTGCCTACCTGCGTTGGGTCCGACGGGAACGAACTTGACCTTGCGGGTCGGTTTGTATTTCTTCTTTTTGCTATTGCCGTCATCGGGCTCCTGAGCGTAGACGGTGCTCACGACAGCCCTCCTCGCGTCGCTATCTGTTGCTGCACGGCCTGGCACGATGATGTGCTCAGCGGACGTGCGGTTGATAAAGATCTTGCCAGCAGCGGAAATCACCAAGGGCAGACTAATTCCCAAGAAGAACAGCATGGCTGAAAGGGTATAGCTATCAGATCTGACGCTGGGAACGTTGGCGTAGGAACGTTGGGGAAGCCACGTCAACAGGGGCTTTTCTGCGCGAAACTCTCAACTCTCTAACCCGAAATTCGACTCAGACTTTCGACACGTCCTCTTCCTCTTCTGTCCCGCCCTCCTCTGTCCTGCCCTCCTACGCATAGCCACACACTCATCAGCATCGCCTGGGCTCGCGCTTTCTGAGCGGCGAGCTTTATCAAAGCGCACCTCCTCCCGTTCCGGGGTTTCAGACACAAGTCTCGTTAAACACAATAACCAACCAACCAACCAACCAACCGTGTCCACTCCCTAGACGCAACAGCCATCTCAATAGCCCCATCCACATCCTCTCTGCCAGCAGACAACACTGAGAATTTTTTGACGAATCTATGGTCACCGTGCCTGTGCCCACACTAACGTAGGCCCTGCTGACTTGTGCGTCAGGGGTGTCTCTCGTGATTTGGACAGCCTTTCTCGTCTTTAGGGGGCAAAAAGTCCAGACGCTTGTGCACCGCCGCCTTCACCTCTCCGGCCTGCTCCTAGCTGGCGAACTTGTAGTCTGACATGTCCGTCTCTTCCCAACCGATACGCTCCGTATTTGGTCCCTCCAGATAGTGGCCTCTCGAATGGCCTCCTTGACAGCCCCCTCTGTGGCCGAGGGGATGCGGAAGTAACGTTCATTGTGACACACAGGCACCCGTGCAGCAGCCTAATGTAACAGCACCCACGTCTTGAGACATCGGCTGCACTGGAGCTATTGACGCCTATTGAGCGACATATGGATGTGCAGATGAGATCAAGAGATCTTGTCGCACTCTTGATTGATTGTGAGGAAAGGCGAAAGTGTTTACGGCGGCTAGGATGCACGGTTTCACGTCAACACGTTCCCGATACCGCTGATCCTGCCCTTCCGACGGCCACCGATGAAGTTCGCCTCTGCGTTCCCTTTCATTGCCCTCTGCGCATTGACGGCGGGCAAACCATCCACGGGCAAGAGCATAGGTAAGAGAATGACATCCCACCTCCCCCCGTCGCATCACCACTGATGCATTCCTGGGTGGATTTGGGTTTGGTGATGCAGATGCCTGCGAGGGAGGGAACTGTGCCGTCGGAGGAGGAGAAGAGTTCGGCGTCAAGTAAGCCATGCAAAGCGGAGTGATATTCACAGATCTGAAAAATTCCCAGCCTCATGTGCGGTTGAATGCAGGGAAAATCCATCTCAGGGTGTATCACACCCCGAACTGCCATGCAAGTGCACCGAAAAAGGATGCAGCTGCCACCACAACGGTCAGTGTGAGAGAGAGAGGTCAGTGTGAGAGAGAGAGAGAGGCCTGTCCGTGTTCGTGCAGTGAAGCCGGAGGAGGTGACCGAGCCCGGCGAGGAGCAAGGATGCCGGTGCAGGGGAGGTGAAAAGGGATGCACCTGCCACCACAACGGTCAGTGTCAGAGAGAGAGAGGTCAGCGTGAGAGAAAGAGGCCTGTCCGTGTGTGTGCAGTGAAGCCGGAGGAGATGGCCGAGCCCGGCGTCAAGTAAGTTGCGCGGAGCCCGCGGGCTGCATGGAAGGTCCCCAGCCTCGAGTGCGCTTGAATGCAGGGAAATTGGACTCAGAGATTATATCCCCTCGGAGTATGATAAAATCACCCAGTGTTACTTGAAGAGCGGCCATGCTGCCGACGCCATGCTGGAGAACGGCCAGATCGTCAAGGTCCTCTGCACAGTGTACGATGCGGATGGCTTCTGCATCTACAAAGCGCTGGAGTTTATCACGGACGCGGGGGCCAAGTTTGGCGCAGTGCACCCCGTCACTGTCGCAGTGATCGTAAGAGAGGGAGGCACGCACAAGAAGACACGTGGTACGCATGTCTGGCTGTAGATTGAGCGCAAGATCGAGAAATCTTGGGATCGAGTGCAGTACCCGTGCTACTCGGCACCATAAAGCTAGGTTCCCAGACCTAGCTCATGAGATGGTGGGCGAGCAGGGCATGTTGGTTGCAACGCCGGCCATGAAATGACAATCATGTGATTGATGTTTGTGTGCTTTCCTGCAGCCAGCACATTACACCGCACACCGGGGATAGCTAGCTGATGACTAGGTAGCTCCACCAACTTTTTTCTTCTGGGCGGGAGGCACGCACGGCCACATACATACACGCACACACACACAGAGCTTCACACACACACACACACACGGGGTTTCACGCAGTCTGACATGTACAGGTTTTCGGTCGCTGTTTGCAGTGTGCGCGTGTCACTTTCACAGAGAGAGAGAGAGATGGCATGGCTTTTGATCTCTTTGTATTCACCGATGGACACCACACCAGGTGATGGATGCCTGGGAGCCTGTTACTCGCTCACTCAAATCAACCAACTGCTTGAAGAGCTCGAAAGGCTTGAAAACAAGGCTCGTGACGTTGCCCAATTATGCATTGTGTGTGCAATGAATTGCATTATAATACCGAGCGTGTGTTCTTCTTCCAATGCGTCCGCCCATCATTACACAGAAAAGCCGGTGTTCACCTACAGAAGGAGCCATGACATGCAGCACCCGCTTTCTACTGCTACGCACACAAATACTGTACGCGTGTGTGTGTGGAGAGACACTGTGGAGAGACACACTAGCACACACGACACGCCAAACATTCACTCTCGCTACCTGCCTATGGCATGTGTGTGCTGGCCGGGGTGGCTCACGTGGCATGGCCGATGTGTGCTGGCCGTGTTCTGATTTCCGTTACTTCCTCAAGGAGATCGCCGTTGACTTTGGCCTCTGTGTCGTCCTGAACGACAAAAAGACAAAGGGCCACCGATGACCCTCATGCAATGGGTGTGTGTGGAGCTCCTACGTGGCCATAAGTCTTTCGACTGATGGGTCTTTTCTCACGAGTCTTTCATGTGTACGGAGGAAGGGAAGACGTCAAAATGATAGCGGGGTGAGACACGTACGTATCGATGGACACTCAGTGGAAAAAATCGAGTGAAAGCAATCCCGCATCCTCCCTTTCAACAATCTGCTGGCTGGTCTGTTGAGGGTCATTCATTTGTGTGCATCAAATTGCATTAATCCGATCAAACGTCTCCATGCCGGCCTCAGCTGATGCATCAGGGCCAGGCGGCGAGTTGTAGCGAGCGCCGCCGTCCTTCTGCATGTGAAGCGCCTGATAGGTCCTTGAGTCCACCATTCACACACACTGTAGAATTTCAAGTGAATGAGAATTTGTCTGAAGTGAACTACGTAGTCAGACACCTACACAACTGCCTTTTGCAGACCAAACCAACCTCTCCACATCTACCATCTACTATCAACACAGTGGCTGTCTACTCTAGGCCTTTGTGTCTTTGAGGACTGACCGCAGCAGTTGCGGAACCTTCTCTGTGAGTATTGTTGCCATGTTCCCTCCCTCTTCACCGAAATAATTCTGGGCCAAGCTCCTCCCGAAGCCCACGAGGACACTCGACAGCGTGTCCTGGAAGGCAGGGAAGGCATTGTCTTTGGCCATGTCCGCCTCCGCAAGTCCGATCATGGTGCTCTTGATCTGCTCGCTCGCGTGGCCGGCGAGGCCATCGGGGCTGACGACCGCCTCTAAGTGGCCCATGAAGGAGTCGGTCATGCCGCCGAGCAGGCTGCCGAACTGGTCGACCCCTGCCTGTGAGAGGAGGTCGCCGGCGAAGTCGCTGGCCAGTGACTGCACCACGCCCTGCATCCGCCCGCCTGCTATCTTTCCGAGACCCTTGGTCAGCCCGCCCATCAGCTGCAGGCAAAACAGAACGAAACAAGAGAAGGAAGTATGCTGATGCCCATAGGTAGTGGTTGTGTGCATCTGTCTTCTCATCATCCTATAGGTAGTGGTTGTGTGCATCTTTCTTTCATCCCACCCCGTCTCCTCCCCCCGTCCACTTGGCCGCGGCAGCAGCGAAGCGACCAGCTCTAGATTTGGTGGTCTTGGTACCCTCCTCCCCTGGGTGAATGCCAGTCAAGTCCGGACGATCGCCGGGCTTGAGCACGGCATACTGATACGCATAGCCCAAATCTGCATGCAGACGCCGGATGGGTCAAGTGGCTGACGTGCACACATTCATCGGTGCGTACCGTATGGGATCCCAGTCTTGGGGTCATATCCAGATTGGCTGTATGCGCCGTAAGGCGATCCGGACGGCCAGAAATAGCCGTACGCAGCGGGGAAACCCCCTCCCCCCTTGGGCTCCGGCAACTGGTTGGGAAACTGAGTGGGCTTCTGCTTCGTCAGCTGGCTGGGCCCAACCTGCAACAAGCAAGGCCAAACGTGCAGGCCTCCTACGGCCCATCGGGTATCTTATCGACTCATGAGCACACCTGTCCAGGGTACTGGTACTGATGGTGATACATGTCCATCTGCATGAATGAAGGAGCCAATACGCCTGACAGACAAACGACGCACTCAATTGCATCCATGTGTTGCTATCTGGTCCTGTGCTCTGTTTCTCACTTGCCGTAGCTGATGTTTGTTCTCGTCTACGAAGGTATCTCCCGGTCCTCCCGACCGCCGTTTGGAGAAAGCTCTTGCTACCCCCCTTCCCC